CCGCATTTAGGTGCTAAACCTTTTTCTTGCTTTCAAAGGAACTTCTTTCCATTCTTACCTAATTTTTTCTCCCTAATTCCCCTCACTTTTGCCAGAGTTCAATTGTTTGTGGATTATGGCTGTCATAATTTCTAGTTTATTGTTGCATCTGTTTTTCCTCCTACTTCCTTAAAAAGAGAGAGAGAGAGAGAGAGAGAGAGAGAGAGAGAGAGAGAGAGAGAGAGACCTGACCAATAAAAATAGCTTAAGGACTCCAACATTTCCACAAGGCTTGTGATGGAAAGCAGTGGCTATTTCCTCTTCCACACTCCGCCCACCTCACAGGTAACCACGGTGGGTTCTTTTCACTGCTTTTTGTTGCATGCATCTTTGTGTCTTTACACTTGCTGTCTTGCTACCTCCAGGCTTTCATTTTAGATGGCCTTGGTTGTCTTCCCACTTGGCTGGAAGAGAATTAGTCCTCTATCCTCTTTCAGTTCTCACCATACCTAGCCCCCTCCTCTCTCTCGTAGCAATTTACTGTATGCAAAACAAGGAAGGGTTCTCTACTCAACAGTGTGTACTGTTAGTGCAAGAACTAAAAGTACAAAATTCTAGAAGAAAACATAAGGGAAAGAACTTCATAACTTCATATTACACCACATTTTTAAAATTCGTCACTAAAAGCATAATCAATAAAGGGAAAAAAACCCAGTAAATTGTCTGGATTACACTAAAACAAACAAACAAACAAACAAACTTTTGTGTTCTAAAGGACACTGCCAGGCAGTTAAGATAGCCCTGGCTAAGGACTTGTGTCTAGAACATATATGAAAATTCTCACAACTCAGTGATAAAACTCCAAATTTTAATGGGCAAGAAATTAATTCTCCAAATAGGTAATACAACTTGCCAATTGGGAAAATATACTGAACATCTTTATCAGGAAAATACAAATCAAAACACAATGAAATACTACTTAGCACTCTACACAATGGCTATGATAAAAGAGTTAATATTGAGTGCAGGTGAAATTGTTGAGAAGTTGCTGATGGCAAATGCAATTCATGCAGTCCCTTGGTGAGCCAGTTTGGCAGTTCCTGAAAATATTCAGCCTGGAGTCACCACCGGACACAGACACTAGCCACAAATGTTCATCAGGCACTACTAAAACCAGCTCCATGTTAGAGGTAACCCAAATATATATGAACTGATAAGTCGATAAGGCAAAATATGCTAAATTCATAGAATGACATATTATTCACTATAAAAAAATGAACTATAGACTCATGCAGCAACATGACAAATTTAAAAACATGTTTAAGTGGAAGAAGTCAAACACAAAAGTGCATGTATTGTATCATTCCATTCAGATGAAAGTTCCAGAATCAGCCAATCTGGAGAGCTGGAAAGCAAATTAACATTGGGGAGAATGAGGAGTGATCCTTAATGGGTATAGAGTTTTTTTAGGGGAGAGTTGTGTACGTTTTGTAAAATTAATTGTGGTGATGGATGCAGCTCTGTGAACAGAGAAACATTGATTGTTATACTTTGAATGAATTGTAGCTTATGTGAACTATGATTTGAAGAAATTGTTACAAAAAATAGATGCAAACAAAGCAATAATATGTATTTTATAGGAACACATGAAAACATCATCCTCCATGTTAAACACACCACAATGGCTGTCGATAAAGGAAAAAGGAACTGGGAGTGAAACATGGTAACAAGAAGGAAAGGTAGGGGCCAGGGTTTTGGTAGAGCACGGTTAAGCCACTGCCTGGGCAGCAACATGCAGTATGGGTGCTGGTTCATGTCCAGGTTGTCTCCACCTCCAATCCAGCTCCCTGTTAATGGTCTGGGAAAAGCAGCAGAAGATGGCCCAAGCATTTGGGCCCCTGCATCCATGTGGAGATACAGATGAGGTTTCTGGTTCAAGGCTTTGGGCTGACCTAGCCTGGGTCATTGAAGTCATCTGGGAATTGAACCAGTGAATGGAAAATCTCTGTGTCTCTGCCTATTGCTTTGTAACTATGCCTTATAAACAAACAAATCTTTTAAGAAAAGTCCCCACTTAGAATCATAAAATTCAATGAGTGTTAGCATATTCAAGGTACTATGCATTCATTCCCACTGTGTCATTTTAAGATCTTCATTAACCTATTAACAACCGTTTCTCCAGTAGCACCATCTATATTCTCTCTGTGTGGATTTGAAATTCAAGCATAGTTTCATTCATGTGATATATTCTGTGCATCTCTTGTAAGTAGAATCATATTCTACATGGGTTTATGCTTCACGTTTTTCATTTAGCATAATGTTTTCAAAATTTGTACACACAGCAGCAACCAATATTGCATTTTTTATTTCAGCTGAGTAATATTTCACTCCATGGATTTATCACTATCTTGCTTTACTCATTCATTAGTTGGTATTATAGTTGTTTCTGCTTCTGGACTATTTTGAATAATGTTGCTATGAATATTCATGAGAAATTTTTCTGTGAACATGCTTTACATTTTATGAAAAAACAAAAAAGGAGGATACTTCAAGAAGCTCATGGAGGGCCCGGCGCGGTGGCGCAAGTGGTTAAGGTCCTCGCCTTGCACACGCCCGGGATCCCATATGGGCACCGGTTCTATCCCAGCAGCCCCACTTCCCATCCAGCTCCCTGCCTGTGGCCTGGGAAAGCAGTCGAGGACGTCCCAAAGCTTTGGGACTCTGCACCCGCGTGGGAGACCCGGAAGAGTCTCCTGGCTTCGGATCGGCATAGCATAGGCCGTTACGCTCACTTGGGGAGTGACTCATTGGACGGAAGACCTTCCTCTCTGTCTCTCCTCTCTGTGTATCTGCCTTTCCATAAAAAAATAATAAAAATAAATCTTAAAAAATAAAGACATCATTTGGAATACTTTCATCTCATGTTGAAATTCGACTCTGTTCTCCATCCCTGCTTCCTGTTAATAAACACCTTGAGAGAGACAGCAGGTGAGGGCCTGAGTACTGGAGTCCCTGCTAACTCCCGTAAGAAATTTTTTTGGTCTGCTTCCAATTCTTGCAATATCCAAAAAGAACTTAACAGTGAGAAAATGGGCATACCCAAGTCAACATATCAGAAGTCAGTGAGTTGGCTCGGGATTTGCTAGCCTATGTTCTCATCAGGTAGGGCAATGACACTTGAAATAGAAGTGCGTTGGAAAGCAAGTCGAAGAAACCACAGACCAACCTTCAGAGTGATGGTTAACGATGCTTACAGAGACAGGCATAGGAAAAAACACTGAGCAGAGAAAGCTATCTGGGATGTCTTGCTTGCATGATTCATTTTCAGATATCCTTAATTTTTAAAAAGTGGACAATATTGACAACAGCTGTGGATTTAAGGAAATGAGCTTCTCATGCAAGATGATTGAGGGTCTTTATGTCAAGCAATTTACCAAATCCTGAACTAAGCAGTCACACCTGCTGGGGCTTTCCAATCACTGAGGGCAGGCGTGGGGAATCAGCTGGAAGCTGCCCCCTTTCTGCTTTCCGAGAAATTGAAGATTAATTTAAATAACCAAAAAGGAAAGCCACATCACTAGAAATTCCACAAGCTTACTATATATTTAGCTGGAGTTACATAAGAACCTACTCATTAAAAAGCACAGAATATAAGCCCAAAGGAGTTGTCATCGACCTCTCATTCACTAGGAGAAAAAAATAACACAGAGGAGGTGGTGGTAATTAGCAGGATCCCTTGGGGCATACAGATGGCTAGCTTTCACAATTCTGTTTTCAGTTTTTAAAAATACCTCTTTTAACCCAAGTTCATTTTTCTACACTGTTATTTTCTGCTTTGCTTTGGTTTTATATTTTCTAATTTTTGAGGCGCAGATTCAGAAGAATTGTCTTAACGTAGAGTTTATTCTGTATTGGGGGCTGACCCGGTCCGTCTTATCCAATTATATGACTTAAGACAAATATGCTCATTTTTTTAAAAAAGAAAATGAATAAATTTCAAGTTTATTTTGACTGCATGTGTGTGAAAGAGAGAGAGAGTCCTCAAAAATGCACAGAAAATGCATATCAATGAAAAACTAAATGGATTTTGTTTTGGCACAAAGATAAATGTAACTTAATTTCATTCCCCACAGTCCTTCTGAAACAGCATTTTGCACACATGTGCATATACATACAATCACTCTCATGGACAGGACGCTCATGATAATCACTTGTAAATGTTGACAAGCTTGAAGAGGATTATATCAGTTTCTTGTGTTTGGAACTTTTTATGTTTTGAAGATGCAAATACTTCCTTTCCTCAAGCAAAACAAGGCTTGGGAGCATGAACCTCAACGTGGGCACTGCCTTTGGTACTTTCAAAATTAGTAAACTTTGTCCTTTGAAGGATTTTTAAAAAAGAATTCCAGAGCTGCAAAAATATTCCAGAGGTAACTTCTTAGCACTGAATCAACGGGCACTTACTGAGTATTTTGGGTCAGTGGTGGGTCAGCTGCTCTCCTTGTGTGATCTCCAGCAACACCAGCATCAGCTGGGAACTTGTTAGGTAAGTTCTTAGATCCTGCCTACACCGTACTGAATCAGAACCTCGGAATGAAGCCCAGAAATCTCTGTTTTCACGAACATTCTGGATGATTCTGATTTGAGTTGAAGGCTAGGAGCCACTGGTCTGCTGGTTACACAGTTGAGTTAAATAGGGTATTTGAAAAGTGTGTGCACCTGTCCTGGTTGTCTACATCTGAACCAGCGCACTTGCCCATCTTCCATTCAAGTGTGCTTCCCCACTGCTGATGTGCTTGTGTCTTGGAGGTTGAACCCGAGTTTCACATTATCACTCCTTACACCTCCACTTTGTACGCAGCTAGGGAAGCTGCCCTGCCTATAGGATCTCCCACCTGAAAGCAGGTTTCCTTAGATTCCTGATCACTCACACACTGTAAAAGTTAGAATAGGACTCACACCTGGGCAGGTGGCTACTTAAAGACACAGTAGGGCTCAGCCCAGTGCCTTAGAGCTGCGCGATGGAGGGTGGTGGCCAGATGAGGGGCAGCTCCTGGGTTCTTCCTGGGCTTTTGGCTCTGGGGCTCTGGTATGCGCAGTTCAGTCAGGTACAACCTATGCACTGTGCTGCCAGCATTTTGCCTTCCGGTGTCAATGAGATCTTTTCTTCCAGGCTACGTGGATTTACCCTCACAGCCAAAAGTAAGTACCTGAAACTCTGACCTATCTCTACGAGGGGAAGGAGTGACCCAGGAATTGCCTAGTAGCATTTTTGTAAGGCTAGTTGGAAAAGCTCCATGGGTGATGTCCTGATGTCCACAACTCTTGGCTGCACAACTGGTATGCTGAGCAACTAGCGTGTGGTGTGAGACTTGACAGGGCAAGTGGCTTGCCCCAGGTCACTGTGATTGGGATGCTTATTAGCCCTACCACTGTCACTCTAGGACTGAATTCCAGTGGCAGAGTGATGTGCATGGGGGAAGCTCAGGCCACTGCCGTCTGCTGTGGAATCGAACACTAGCTTTGCTGGTGGCTTTCAGAGCCGGGAGGGCTAAGTTTTGGTTTTGGTTCTGCTGGGAGAATTGTCTGAAAGGGAAGTGGTGTCTTCATCATTTTCTTCTGTGATAGCAGCCTCCTGAAGCTCCTTTTCTGCCTTCCTCTCCTTACAGGCACCCAGTTCCTACATACTTATTGGCTTCTCTACTTCGAAGCAGCTCCCTTCGTGGGGATTTCCTTGATACAGCTGTGGGCCTGGGTGCCGATCGCCCCGCATGCTACCGAGCTTATTCTGGAGTTCAAGGACCAGCGACGGGGCTCCTCCAAATTCCTCTTGGGTTCCTTCCCCATTCTCTTTTCATCTTACCACTCAGACAGAGGATCTCTGCTGGAGATCTACTGCTTGCTCACGTATTGGATGGAAGTGGTACCTAACCTCCTACGGGAAGAACAGATGCCATCCACGGATGTCGCTGATGCCAGGATGAATGAGTGTTTCAGCAACACAGGCAGGCGAGATATGGTGCTGCTGTTGACTTCGACCTACAGCCAGCCCCCTCTGTTTCACCTGCCTTATGTCCACGAACCCTTCTTCCCTAATGTGGAGCAGCTGATCTTGGGAAGCCCAGGCAAGGGTCACTGGGACATAGAGTATGGCCAGTCTCCATTTCTGGGTGAGAAGCTCTGTCACCTTGAGGATCGCAAAGTGAACCTTCACAGAGCCTCCTGGGGCGAGTGTATTGTGGCACCCAAGACTTTCAACTTCCCTTACTGTCAGGGAACCTGTCTGGCCCTGAACAGCGAGTTCCATCAGTCCAACATTCAGTGCTATAAGGTAAGACATGACAACACGTTTTTTCTTCCATGGGTGGCATGAAGTTTTTAGTGTTTCTGGGCTTATCTCCTTTATGGCAAAGAAGCTAGAGAAGGTAAAACTCGCATAATCCAGCACTAACATGTTAGGTCACATGTTTCCGCCATCATACTCCTGTCCCTTTACATCTTGGCTCATAAGAAACATCTATTTCCTAAGAATTGTTCTGAGGAAGCCATGGTCCGGGGTCTCCCGTCCAGGCACTCCTTTCCTGCTTGCCTCCGCAGTTTACTGATACACTGAGGTAGGAGCCAGTGTCTTTCATAGCACTCACCTCCATGTCCTTTTGTTCCCACAGAAGGATGCACCTATTTGTTCCCAGCTCCTCCGGGCCTGTGTTCCTGTCAAGGTCAGGCTTTTCTCCTTGATGGTCCAGGACGACGAGCACAAGATGAGTGTGTACCACGTGAATGCATCCCTGATAGAGAAGTGTGGCTGCCCTTGAGATGCCCATGCCCTCCTGCACCTTGGCATTCTAGTGAGGAGCTGGGATTGGGCCTCACCGGGACTAGAGTCCTCTGGAGGGTGGGGAGTGGGGATGTTTGCTCCTAAAATGTGGTTGGAAGGAACGAGTTTTGTGATTTCTCTAATACTACTTTTGAGGGCTGAGACTCCTTGTGTTTTGTTCCTAGTTGTACCTATCACTGACTGTGTGTGTGTGTGTGTGTGTGTGTGTGTGTGTGTGATCTGTCCTTGATTGTGTGAATAGGCCGGTAATGGTGTCATCATGGGAGTTACTTAGGAGCTCAATTGGATGCATGTGTTGGGTAAAACGGCTTATTAAACAGGATTCTGTTTTGGTCCTTTCTGAGCTGCTCCACTGCTATTGTCTTTCTCTGTCCCAAAGGCCTGGGGCTGGTCCAAAGTTGATCTAAGCGTTGGAATATCAATTCTTTGCCACCTGGAATGGTGGCTGGTGTGTGTGTGTGTGTGTGTGTGTGTGTGTGTGTGTGTGTGTGTGTGTGAATAAGGGCCCCGTGCAAGGGAGCTGCTGCCATGGGCTTGTCATGAGTATAGGGCATCAGACTCTCCTTACATAGTGGGTGTTGGGTGTCAGATGTGTGGGAGACACCAGGAATGATGGACATAGCTTAACACTGGTCCTTAGTGGGTTGGTCTTTGATCTTATGGAAGGGCTAAGTCCTTTCTCAAGTCACATTTTCTTCAGTAACTGGAATACTGTGGTTAGTCTTTTATGTTGACTATCTCCTTGCGTCCCTGCATCTGTGCATTGGAGTAAATGGCTGTTGGGGTTCAACATTTATTCTCAAGGATCACAAAAAAGGAGCAAGAGCAGACATTTGTTGTAACAAATGTTTGTCTATTCAAATATTCTTTCCAGTTATCTCTGGTTTAGGGTTCTAAGGCCTACTTAAAAAATACAATATGGGGAAGTCTTCCAATGTGCAAGTTAATACAAAAATTACCTGTTAGATTTTGGTGCAGAAGATGACCCATGGCACCTTGGTGACAGCACAGATTCTGTCCTGAGTGAGAAGCACATTAGTCAAATCAAAGGGTGAGCCCTTAAAATTGCTGTGACTTCCTGGGTGAATATCTGTGGCTCTGACAACTTGCATTTCCAGCATATGGGTATAAAATCATAGTTGGAGGGCCTGGTGACTAAAGTCCTCACCTTGCATATGCTGGGATCCCACACGGGCACTGGTTTGTGTCCCACTGGCCCTACTTCCCATCCAGCTCCCTGCTTGTGGCCTGGGAAAGCAGTTAGCGACAGCCCTAAGCCTTTGGATTCTGCACCCGCGTAGGAGACTCAGAAGAAGCTCCTGGCTCCTGGCTCCAGATTGGCTCAGCTCTGGCCATTGCAGCCACTTGCAGAGAATCATTGGACAGATCTTCCTCTCTCCTCCTCTCTGTACATCTGACTTTCCAATAAAAATAAGTCTTTAAAAAGTTGGAGTGAACAGCAGTGAGTCTGGGAGAGGTAGGGAAAGAGGGAAGTCTCGGCCCCTGATTGGCCCAGCCTGTGTTTCAGCTGAGTAGTGGGTTTTATAACGTAGAGAGGCACTAACTTCTGCCGATTCTTGGCCTGTTTTTTTTTTTTTTCTTCCCCTTTGATACTTCCACAACTGAATTCCTGAGAAGTCTATGGAAGTAGTTTAAATTTTTCTTACGTTATGTAACTTGTTCTTCTTTAGACTTAACAGCAAGCTACATAGCCCACTTTCCAGCTCTAATCCCATCCTGCCACAGCCACTGTTAGATTTGACCTGGGTCCTGACAGGTTGCTTTCTTTGTGTACATAGCTTTAAAACAGCCTTGAGCTGCTAAGGAGAGAATTCCGCTGCTTCAGTCAGAGATGCTGCTGCTTTGGTGTTTAAAATAGCTTGATACCCTTTGAACATCCACCAGGAAGGGAATTAAGGAATGAGGTTCTGTAGTTACTGCTGTTCCAGTGCCATGACCACTTTTGAATATTGTCTTCCTGCACAGGGGGAAGCTCTAAGGGGATAATGGTAGATAGGGCTATGAGGTAAAGCTGTGACTTGTACACCGTGGACCTCTCTAAAACAGACAACATAAATGGGCATGATGTAAGTCTCCAGTTTCCACCTACACACAGGGAAAGTTGAAATTTGGTCATTTTTTTTTAAATGGGAGAGAGAAATTTTTTGTTAAAGTTGTGTCTTTTAAAAAAAAGAGAACCTGGGAGCCAGTGCTGTGACACAGGAGGTTAAACTAGTACCTGCAGCACCAGTGGTCCATGTAGGTACCAGATTGAGGTGGTTCCCACAGCTCCACTTCTGATCCAGCTCCCTGCTAATGCACCTGGAAGCACAGCAGGGGATAAGCCCAACTGCTTGGGCACTTGGCCCTGCATGGGAGACCAGGAAGGTCCTGGCTTTGGCCTGGCCAACTTTGGCTGTTGTGGCAATCTGGGAAGTGCCTTGGCAGAAGGAAGACCTCTAGCTCTCTGTAACTCTGCATTTCAAACACTTTAAAAGAGTGGATTTTGAACAACTTTTAGTAGCCATTTGAATTCTTTGAATTACTTTTATCAAGCATCTGAAGCTTTTCCTGTTACATCATATTCTCTATAGAAAGAGATGTATAAAGTTTGTATCTGATAAGATTTCAAGAATATAATACTTGGGCCCAACACGGTGGCCTAGTGGCTAAAGTCTTCACCTTGAATGCGCCGGGATCCCATATGAGCATCGGTTCTAATCCTGGCGGCCCTGCTTCCCATCCAGCTCCCTGCATGTGGCTGGGAAAGCAGTTGAGGATGGTACAAAGCCTTGGGATCCTGCACCCGAATGAGAGGCCGGAGGAGGCTCTGGGCTCTTGGCTTCAGATTGGCTCAGCTCTGGCAGTTGTGGTCACTTGGAGAGTAAATCAGTGGATGGAAGATCTGTCTTCTTTATATATCTGACTTTTCAATAAAAATTAAAAACACCAACTTCTCACTGCACCTCCTCTTTGCTTTTTTTTTTGTTTGTTTTTTGATAACCTAGAACCTCTTTAAAAACATATGACAGGGCCCGGCGCGGTGGCGCAAGTGGTTAAAGGTCCTCGCCTTGCATGCCCGGGATCCCATATGGGCGCCGGTTCTAATCCCGGCAGCCCCGCTTCCCTTCCAGCTCCCTGCCTGTGGCCCGGGAAAGCAGTCGAGGACGGCCCAAGCTTTGGGACCCTGCACCCGCGTGGGAGACCCGGAGGAGGCTCCTGGCTTCGGACTGGCATAGTATCGGCCCGTTGCGCTCACTTGGGGAGTGAATCATCGGAGGGAAGATCTTCCTCTCTCTCTTTCCTCTCTGTATATCCGCCTTTCCAATAGAAAAATAATAAAAATAAATCTTTAAAAACATATGACAATGCATTCTAGTTTAAATGCCTAAAAAGATCACCATTTATAGATAGAGGGAGGTCCTTGGGTGCCTTGATCCATTTTGTGTTAATGTAACTATGTGAGGTTTCTTTGGGCTTATGGCTTTGGATGCTGAAAGATCCATTTGGCCACAACTTCTGCAGACATCATGTTGCTTCCTAATGTAGTAGATGGCATTGAATTGTGGGGAGATGAGAAAGATGAGTAGGACATGCAGAGGAGTGTGAGGACGAGAGACTCAGGCCTGGTTTATAACCGCTGGCTCTTGATCCCTAATCCAGTCGCTCTTGAGAATTCAGTCCTCGGGAGGAAACCATTCACGTCCCTTAAAGGCTCCATTGGGAACCAAACTTGCAGGGGAGTTCCCGTGGAGGCAAGCCAGTCCTCAGCAGGTTCATCGCAGCCATCGTTGCCTCGGGTTATTGTTAATTTTCATCAATACAAGGAGAACAGACTTCATGTATTTCGTACATACCATTCCAGGAAGACAACCACATTTTCCTCCCTCCCCTTTTCCTTCCCTCAAATTTCCTCCCTCTTTTTTTCTTTAATCTTTGTCAAAGCATCATTTCAATGTACTCTGTAATCACAGGGTTCATATTTACTTAATCTGCTATGAAAAGGACATACACATTTTGTATCTTGTACTTCTTGTGTCCACAGTTTTATTTATTCTGAAGTGTATTTCTTTGTGGGGAGAGGCCTCGGCGCACCCCCCCCCCCAAACCCCTTGTGTCTGAGGTGTGGCCAGACACTACGGCCGGATCCTAAGTGACAATCTTCAGGTTTTTTGGGAAAGTGTTGCTGACAGCTCTGAAAGCCTTGTTCACAAGAAGAAAGCTTGGGTTACGTAGTTCAGATTTAAAGAAAGCTGGGGTAAGAACGGCATGCTTTTCCTACAAACACTCAAATGGTAAATACCATGGGCTGTGAGTCCTTCAGTCTTGGTTACAACCACAGAGCTCTGGTTCTAGACTACAAAAGCCATTGAGCAAATGTAAGCCAGTGAATATAGCTGTGTGCAATACAACATTTGTATAGGCACTAAAGTTTGGATTTAACACAAAATGATTTTTTCCTTTTTACAAGCATTTAAAAGGCTGTTTTTGGTTTGGGAGCCATTTTAAAAAATGCACCGATTGTCCCTTGGGCTCTCGTGTGCCAACCGTGACCTTTGCAGCTTCCTTGCGTATGTGGGCTAACGTTGGAAAGCACTGTTGATTTATGTGAGAAATTACATCACTGTCTGTTTAGGCCACTGCTAATTAGGCTGATTCTTTGGTAACTTGCAGTTAAAAGCATTTTTATCTGAGAAACATCTGTTCCAACCTCATCCCTCCTGCAAATAGCCATTCATGTCCAGAAAGACAAGGGCTAGCAGACAGACACGGAGAGACTGTTTTGTGAGTACAGAGGTTTAACTTTACAAGACAAAAGTAGTTTTGGAGTTGATGACGATGATGATGTTTATACAATATGATTGGACTTTGTATGCTTAAGGGTGATTGAAGTAAACTTGATGGCTATTTTACCACAACTTAGAAACATTTTAGAGGCAGGTGTTCAGCTTGGCTATGAAGATGCAAGTCTCGCAT